GAGAAAGTAGTCTTTTAATAAAGAAGGGCAAAATAGTCTTTTCAAATGGCTTTTAACAAAAAACGGGTACGGGTGCAAACAGAAAGACAAAGCGGCTACAGGTTAAAAAGGGGTGCCCAAATAGGGCGCCCTATGCAATTTTTACGGGGTCACCGGACCCCGTAAATTTCGGGAGAAATCTTGTATATATATATATATATGTATACCTTAAAAATAGTTAATTTAAATCACTTAGCACCCTTAATGCTAAAAGTCTTTAATGCGCTTATTGAACAGAATATTATGCCCCCGTCGCATTAAATTTATAGCACATGAAAAATTGGGGGGTGAACAGGCTGAAGGTCAAAGGGGTCCTTTGAATCCGTATACTAGTGTACATTATTGATGAGCCGTATACAGTATTTTCTGCGGCCTTCATAAATCATCAAGTGATAATATCATATATAAAATAATATATAAATAATATCACATATAAATAAAGCAGTTTTCATGCCAAACGAGGCATGAATTTTTTATTTTGTTTTGTTATGTTTTATTTAAAAAAAAAAAAATTAAACATATTGCATTCCTTTGACCTTCCTCTGTGGAAATTGGAATATGTGGCTTTGTAAATTTCTTGGAGAAATTACTTTGAGTTCTTAAGGGGTAAGAATTATTCTTGACCTAAAATAAAAGGAAATGTCATGATTTTAACACTTTAAACTTTTAGAAAAGAAAAATTGTACAATTCAAAAAAAATAAAAATAGAAAGATAAAATATTATACACTATTTTTACCAAAAAATAGTACACTGACATTTGAGGAACTGTTGTTAAACCAAAAATCAAATAAATATGTGTTTAACTTATCATAAGACAGCTAACGAAGATTAACAAGAAGTGCATATACTTGTCCAACTAATAGTTACTCCTTCTGTCTTAAATTATGTGGCACAGTTTGAATTTAATTTGATGATTTTTAAGTTTTTTAAAATAAAATTTACATACTTAATCAGAAAATACGTAAAAATTACTATAAGTCACATGCAATAATTAACTAAAAGGCACAAGAAAAAATCGTGATCAAAGAACAAACTCGTTTGACTCTTGAAATTCAAATGGTGCCATATAAATTGGTAGAAATAATACCTATCAAATAATCTGTCATATCTCATTTTAGTTAAGCATTTAGATGAGGTGACTTGCACAATTTAAAAAAAGATGTGCCCCTTAATCTAATAGGATCAAGAAATGAGGTGAAAAGGCTTCTTCTCCTATTCATTTTTTTTGGGAATACTTACGCTCCTTTCTTTTCTTTTCCTCTTCTTTTATCCATAATCAATTGATTTAAGTACTCTTCCCTAAAATGAGTATCACAAATCTAATAACATGGTTTATACACAAGTGGAAAAAACGTACCGTTACACTAACATTTTGACGTACGCACGTTTCCAAACTTGAATAATTTTACATGAAAAGACCTCATGTCAAAATTACTCAAGCCATATATATAAAGAGTCAAAGAAACCCATCTTTCTTTGATGTAGCCACGCTCACATCTACCAACTGAAGGGGGTCTGGCTCTAATATTATTAGGCCTAACTCAATCCCAAAAGTTAGTTCAAAGGGTAAGAATTGTCCAAACCATATATAGTTATGAGATGTATTGGAGTCAATAATATCATTAAGTTTGAGAGAAAACGAGAGAACAGAGGCTAGGGTTTGAGAGAGAGAGAGAAGCTTTGTATTAGAAAACTGAATTAATCAGCTAACTGAAAATACACTATATATACACATGGGGGCAAAATTGTCAAAAAACGTAAATATCTAGCCTTAAGTCCGTGGGCACTGAATTGGACTGGGGCTAGTGGGCTCAGTCTGAATTGGGCTTGAGTCAGCATTAGGCCCAAAATGAACATGAAGCCCAACATGAACTCGCAGGTGGCAATTTCTCATCATAGTCTAATCGTTCGCTATAATCTCCGTTTAATCAAACCACATACTGTTACAAGAGCCATAATAAAAGAGTAATCAACATGGGGTTCCACTTCTAGAGTTAGCACATCATCTCCATAGCCAAATCCTAATGATGACTGTTTTTGTTTTACCTGTAATATATATATATATATATATATACCAAATTAAATAAAACAAAAAAAAGTTAGTGTAATCTATTTTAAAAATCATACATACTCAAAATGAAATGAATTTTTATTTTTTTTTATAAAAAAAAGCAATATAAATTCTATGGATTAGAGAAGTCAAAGGACTAACCTCTGCAACAACTTGACCAGCACTATCTGAAACTTTAAATGATGATTTTTTATCAGTTTGTTGAATCTTATAGCAGCTTCCTATAGATTTTTCACACCCCAAATTGACATTACATATGACATCTTCTGATCTTGAAAAATACTTGCAATTCCTTCTCACTTGAAACCATGGTTTCCCTTTAAATCCACCACTTAAATATCCATTCCAACGACCAAATAATCTTAGCTTCTGGGAAAGAAAAAAAAACAAAGTTCAATTTCCATATTATCAATATCACTACTAAAATACTTAAAAAATAAACTAAGAGTTTTTTTATATTATTTTTACCTCTTTTTTAATGGAGAAGAGAACTTGTCCATAAAGATCCATGAGAAATACTTCATTGCTATTTGTTTCTTGGTAGTTGTCAACTCTAAAAACAATTTCACCTTTGGAATCAAAGACAGTACAACCATTCCCATGGAACACTAGGGATTTCATCCATATGGTAAATATTTCTCTTGTGGATGTTACATAAGGAGAGGAAAAACAAGAAGGAGAATTAGAGTTCTTGAGTGTTTCTGGATGAATTTTGGCCATTGAAAATTAATAACAGCTTGAATGAACAAGATGAAAGGAAGTCTTTAATAATTTAAGGAGCTTTACATTGAGTAAGTTGAGAAATTGTAAGGGTTTATATAATAATATGATGAAGAAGCTGCCCGTACAAATAGGGGTGCGACACAATTTTATCAGTACTTTCGATATTACTGTTCAGTACTTCAGTATGTATGCAAGGGGGATGGCCTTGTCCCACTTACCAAAAAAAGAAAAGAGACGAACTTTATTTTCATATTTTTCTCTTGGAGAATTAATAATTAATAATAAAAGGAAAACCAAACAATTTTTACACAACTTTAAAATCCTAATTTTTGTGAAGTGACTTGTGTGCATTCTCTTTTTAAAAATTTGGATTCATCCTGGAAAGTTCCTCTCAAACTACTCTTTTTCCGATCCCTTCTTTGCATTCTTTTCCTTTTTCCTTGTTACTTATAACTATACTAGTAAATATATCAGTGTTTACTAATCAAAAAGAAATATGGGTAAATAGTAATAAAATATGGTAGAATATGGATAAATAGTAATTGTTAGAATTATTATTATAAGATATCAGTCTTTACTAATCAAAGAAGTAGCCTAAAAGAAATAAAAATTAATTTGTAAACTCATGGTCTTGAGATAATTCATGCGGTGAAACTTTTAAAGTCATCCTTAATATTGGCCATTGAAATATAATTCTTATTCTAGTATTTTATCTCTAGGAATAATATCAAATTTTATGTAATAGCAAAAGTAAGTTTTAACAAAATTTATTCTCAAGGTCGTATAATGAATGATAGTGGACGTAGTATGCTTTGATTAGTTTCATCTTTTGTATATTTTCTGTCGTAACACAATTATTATTATTATTATTTTGGTTTTATCATCATTAATCCCTATCAACAATCAAAAAGTTCTTAAAAATCCAACACAACTTTTAGTTTTCTCTTTCTTTCTTTATATATATATAGAGAAAGAGTAGTAGTAGTTTGTATTTTATGATATTATGTTAAGCAAAAATAAAATAAAGAGAAGAAAGCCCCC